AAACACCCTTCTTTCCTAGGAAGGAAAAAATAATCCCAAGTTCCCTGGACCCAGCCTGGTGTTGTGTGGTGCATCTATGCAGACAATTGCACAACAGTTTTCCAAAGTTTCTCTAAGGTCAAGAGTGATGCAGGGGCAGCAGAATATGACCTTGCCCCCACCTTGGGCAACAGAGTAAGGTCCCCTATGCCCAGAGTAATGAAGGAGCAACACATCATCTTGTTCTTCATTCACCCAAAGTAGCATGTGTGTGGTACAGGTGGCCAAAGGGCCAGAAGAGGCCTGAGAATGGAACAAGGGGGAGGACAACAGTGACCAATGACCAGACACTAGACTGAAATGTGGAAAGTATGGCTAAACAAAGGTAGCCCCGACCAAACGCATGTCCCTCCCACCCCCACCATCATTCCTGCCAATGGCTGAGTATTAATTAAGCCCCCTAGAATTTAAATACAAATTCAGGGGAAAAGAGAGGTATAACTCCAGTCCATATTACATTTCCACCACCCTTACAATGAGAATTTGTCCTCTAAATTAAGATGTTACAGCAAAATACAGAAGTTTTCATTTCATGAACACCTGAGCTTGCGTTCTGTGGTTCATCCTCACTGTCCTAATGTTTCCTGAACACTCACAACTTGCCAAGCAGAGAGCAAAGCACTAACAAGCACTACTTCATTTGATCCTCACAATTACACCTATGAGGTAGGTACTTAAAAAGATGTGAAAACAAGGCTCGGACAAGTGCACGGTGCCGTGACTCCCTCCGAATCCATTCCCCTTCTTCTGCCCCAACCCACATTCGCACTCCAAGTGGTCCGGCCAGAGCTCTGTGCACAACTCCAGGCCTAAGACAATCAGATCACTACCCTCCTGAGCGATTTCTTCCAGGACAGGCGAGGGATCTAAGTGGGTTCAAATAGAGTGACTCTTAGGGTTTTATGGGATCTACCACGTAAGAGTCTCTGTCTTCCCCTCTGGACTTGAACTTGAGAGGATGGGAGGGTAAGACTGAAGCCAGGCAGCTAGCAGACCCAAAGACTGAAAGAGAGCATCTGTTTGAGCGCTGAGTCCAACTGTGCCCAAAGCCACCCCTATCTTGGAATTATTAGTCACACCTGCTGTATCAGTTTGCTAGGGCTGCAGTAACAAATTGCCATAAACTGGGTGGCTTGAAACCACAGAAATTAATTCTCTGATAGTCCTGGAGATTAGAAGTCCAAAATCAAGGTGCCAGTAGGGCCATGCTCCCTAATAAGGCTCTCGGGGAGGACCGTTCCTCTCCTATTCCTAGCTTCTGGCAGTTGCCAGTCATCTTTGGCATTCCTTGGCTTGCAGCTGCATAACTCCAATCTCTGCCTCTGTCATCACATGGCCTTCTCTCCTCTGTGTCTTCACATTGTCTTCCCTCTGTACATCTCTATGTCCAAATTCCCCTCTTCTCTAAGGACACTGGTCATTGGATTAGGAGCCTACTCAAATGACCCCATCTTAACTTGATTATATCTACAAAGACCCTATTTCCAAATAAGCTCACATTCATAGGTACAGGGGCTTAGGACTTGAACATACCTTTTTGGGGACACAATTCAACCCACAACATCAGCCAATAAATTCCCTCTGCGCTGAACCACTTGGGTTGGGCTTTTGATCATGAGCATCAAGGAAGAAGTAGAGCCAAGACTCACACTCAGATCTCAGTCAAAAACCAAGACCCAAGGCTGTGCCCTTAACCACAGGGCAGGACTATATGCCTATTTGACCCCTCTCTTCCAAAACAGTGGCTGTACTTTGGGCAGAGGCCCAGGGTTAACTATTTTCTATCTGCCTCACAGCCAGTGCATACAATACACTCAAGGAATATGAGGTTGATTGCAATCTAATTAATTAACCAAAATTCAAATAGTGAAATTGAATCAGGCACGGTTTATCATAGGGCAGTAGGCTGAGAGATGACCAGGATTTTTATCTTGGAAATAAAGTTATTGATTATCTGCACAGCTGCATTTCAAGATTTCCCCCAGATTTCAAGAGATCACCCCAGGTGGTGAGAGGAAGAACATCTCCCCCTCCCCCAGACGTTTAATTTCCAAAATAGAACACCAGTCGTGCTTCTTTCACACGCATGGCCGTGTTTACTTCAAGGTCTGAGAGAAGGCTGCAATCCCAGATTACACAAAAAATATGAAAATAAAACTGATCTCTGTGGCACAATGTTAAATGAAAACTGCTTCCTAGAGGCAAGCAAAGGAAGCCGACTGATGTAAGGAGAGCATGGGACTCTGGCAGGAAGAGCGATGGGGGCAGATCCAGGGTGGGAGGTAGAAACCGGGATCTGCAGAAAGAGATGCGAGCCCTTCGAAAGCCCATTTGGCCCAGGTCAGACGTCTGGTGACATCTTCCCCAGTTCCTTCAGCTGGGCTCCAAAAGCACTTTGAAACACCACTGGCCACTGACCATACTCTTCCTTGAATCCTTCTTGGCTGAATACCAGACAATTTCTCCATGCCAGACGCAGTCCACCACCAGCCAGCTAAACTTGAGTGAGTCAGGGAATCACCTGGGTAGCTCAGTTTGTGAGAAAGGCAGATTTAGGGGCTACACCCCAAGGCACTTTCGTGCTGTAGGTAAATCAGTTTCCTGTGGCTGCCATAACAAATACCGCAAACCAGTGGGCTTAAAACACAGAAACGTGTTCTCTCACGGTTGTGGAGGCCAGAAGTCCAAAATCAAGGTGTCAGCGGGATTGGTTCCTTCTGGAGATTCCAAAGCAGAATCTCTTCCATGGCTCTTCCAGCTTCTGGTGGCTGCTGGCAACTCTGGCATTCCTTGACTTGTTGTGGGATAATTCCAATTCCTGCCTCCATCTTCATATGGTCTTCCTCTGGGTGTCTTCCCAGAACCTTCTCCCTTGAATGTCTGTGTCTCAAATCTCTCTTTACTTTCTCTTACAAGGACACTAGTCATTAGATTTAAGGCCCACCCTAAATCCAGGAGGATCTCATCTTGAGATCCTTACTTGATTATACTTATAAAGACCCTATTTCCAAATAAGGTCATATTCATGAGGGTTGGGGGACCAAAGTGAGGACTTAGATGTATCTGTGGGGGAGGTACTCAATCCACTCTGATGCAGGTGATCTATAGATCATACTTTGAGAAACGCTTAATCCAGCTGCTGAGGATTCAGAGATGAACAAGACATGGTCCCCTCCTTGCGGAATCTGCTGTCTAGTGGAAGATACGGAGAGATGAATTCATGATTAAAATACAAAGGGTGGCCTGGTGATCCCAGGCTGGGGAGTCAGACAGACCAGGGTTTAAATTTGGCCCCCTCCAGCTGTGAGGCTCTGAGCAAGTTCCTTAGCCTGACTGAGCCACAGCCTCCTTACCTGTAAAACTAGAAGTAATTCCTACCTTACACCATTATGAGAATGAGACCACGAAGAATGCTTAGCATCAAGGATGGATTCAAGTAATAGCCATTAGCTATGATGAAGGCGAGAAGCATGTTGTATTCATTTTCACATCCCCCCTCCCCCTCCCTGTGGGCCTTCCACATCCCACGCCTTTAATGAACGTCTGTGGAAGGCAACAAGGCATCACTCTGGAGAAACAGCTGGGACGAGTAAGACAACTCCTGAAAGACCCATTTCAGGATCTTAACTGATTCAACAAGCATTTCTTGAGCAGCTGCTGTGTATGGGGCTCAGTATGTAGGCTCTTGGAACAAAGAGCCAAATAAAACACACAGCCTAGTGGGGAGACCACTAGGCTAGATACAGTGTGGTCAGTGCCAGGGAGAAGTGAGTCTAACACTGAGGAGCACACTCAAGGGACATCCGTGCAATTAAGCACTTCCTTCTTTTGGTTTTCCATCCTTCAGGTTCCATTCTTTAGTACTCTCTTAGTGTTATTGTGTGACTCTCCTCCCAAACTATACATATGCTCCAGGAGTTCTTTGAGGGCAGAGGAGTTTCTGTCTTCTTCACCACAGAATCCCAAGCACCGGGAAATGTACCTGACCCCGAATGGGCAACTGATAAGTACCTGACGGAGTAGTGAATATTCCGCTCCTATTTCAGGGCCTGACACTGGACTTCCATGAAGAACCACCTCCAGCCTCCTTGACTACTGGGTCTGATTCTTGATGGGCTAAGAGAAAAGATCCCCCGAGGATCTGTCCCTTGACATAAAGCCTGATAGTTAGAGGAGATGGGGCCAGGCTGCAATACAGTATATCAGAATATTGTACGGTTAGGCGCTTTCAACTACTAGACCAGGAGTAACCAAACTAAACTAGGGAGAAGCTACGACATCTCATTCTTCTTCAGAGATACAAGATTTTGCACATACTGGACAATAAGGACCGTTTTCAGACTGACCTGAAGGCCCAGAAAATGACTAAAGGAGAAAGACGCACAGGGTTTCCCTTCCAACACCCCACAAGGGAAGGAAGCGAATAAACCATACACCCTGCAGTGTGTGCACAGGAGTAAAGAAAAAGAAGCCCCAAGTTTGCCTTGGGGATGGGGGATGGTTCTCAGGAGGGAGAGAACGGAGGATTTCTGGGGGATGGTCAGCATGGCTAGGTACCATGAGTAGCTGTCATCGCAAACGCAAACGGCGGTAAGTCAGAACAAGCAAGGGAGACACCAGCACTCCCTCTCACGGCGGGGGGGGGGGGGGGGGGGGTGGGGGGGGGGGGGGAGGGAATGCAAAAGTGGACCTCAGGTGGGTTTATGACAAAATAGTTTGGGGGTCTTGGTGTTCTCTGCACCCACAATTCGAATGACTTCTGCGCCTGTTTCAGTCCTTTGAGAAATGGCCCACCACCTTACACACAGTAGGCCCGCAGTAAACATGTGTCGATTGAACTGAATAAGTGAATGAATGACGGCTACGGAGGACCTCTGACTCCCCCACCCAAACCTCTGCTGCAGGTTATTCCGTCTGGCCCGGGTGTCACCCCAGGACCCGGATTTCCCCCCTGGCACCACCTTTCCGCTTCAGCCCTGGGCGTCCAATCGCTCGGCTGCAAAACAGTGGTGACCAGGACGGCAGGTGGGGCTTGGCTCCTTGTCCTCCGGATCCCCGCGCCGGAGGGAAGGCCCCTCCCCAAAGGCTGGCACCAGATGGCGCGGGAGAACGTGGCGCCCGGGCAGCCCGGGAAGTCGGGAGGTACGGCGCACCTGGCGGGGGGCGCGGGGGGCGCGGGGGGCAGCGCGCCGCGGCCGCCGGCTGTGTCCCCGCCCCGGCTCGGCCTCCGGGGGCGCGGCGCATCCCGCCGGCCGGCGCCTCGGCCTCACCTCGCTCACCAGCCCCTGCCAGTCGCTCTCGGTGCGGTCGCTGGTCATGGCCTCCTCCGGCAGGCGCGGGCCGCCCTCGGGGACGCCGCCCTCCTCCGCCGCCTCCGCCTCCGCCTCCGCCTCCGCCTGCGCCTCCCGCCGCGCCGCCGTCGCCGCCACCGGCCCCGCGCGGCCCCGAGAGGGCCCGCGCCTGCGAGCCGCCGCGCCGCGCCCGCGCTCCTGGCTCCACGTCAGCCTCCGCCGAGGAAGCGGAGGAGGAGCCCGGCCGCCCGGCCGTAGCCCCAGCCCGGCCCGAGCCGCCCGCCCCGCCGGCCCACGCCGGCCTCGTGGGGAAGGGACCTCGGGGCCCCGCCCGCAGGTCCCTCCTGACCCGGGATGACCGCGCCCCAGGGCGGGAGGCGGGCACCTGCGCGTCCCCTGCCGGGAGCACATCCCCCAATCCAGCCGTCCCTTGCGCGCCTCGCGACTCCCACCCCCGGACTGGCCTCCCGCGGGGCAGAGGATTTGCTTTGTTCTCCGACGCACGGTAGGTACGGGGCCTGGCACCCAGTGGGTACTCTACAAATAGGCGTTTGTTGAACGCAGGAAAGGGTGAACCACGTGTTATGTATTTAACATTGTTTTCAAAGCTACTCATGTTTGCTTATATTTATTTCTTAAGTTATCAGCTGTCATAAGTAGAAAGCAAATGTAAAAACTGAAAATAAAATATTGAATTCTAAATAGGACCAAAAGCTCTGAGTGTGATGCTTCGCGTGCGTCGAGAGGTGTTCCGCATGAAACGGCGACTTCCTCTCAGAGGAAGGACTGAGAATTACAGAGGGCAGGCGGATCTCTCACCTGAGTCCGTATTATTCTAGGTGGTCTTCTCATGCCACCTAAAACCCTCTGATGGACCACCACCCATAGTGGGCTTTCCCTACAAGAGAAGCACCGCTGGTGGAGATGAGCAGGTAGGTTGAGAAGTTGTGAACCCGTTTTACAGTTGTGGATCACAGCGAACGTTTATTTTTTAGTTTTAGTCCTTGTTGATCCTGGATCAACCCTGTGACAGGGATGTTAGCCCCATTTATCAGATGAGGAAATGCAGGCCTGAAAAGTGGAGAAATAAAGACTCAACTAGGACTTCTGGCTCCAAGGGACCCTCTTCAGCATCTTGGAGACCTGAAAATGAAGTATCACCCCTGGGAGTTGAAAATATTGCATTCTGTTGTTGGCCTTGTTTTGTTGGCATGGTAGATTGCTTGCAAAATGGCGTCCGTCAATAATTCCTTGCCCCGTCTGGCCATTGTGTGTAACTTTGCCTCTGGGCTCAGGCATGTGACTTGCTTTGGCTAAAGCAATGTTTGCAAATGTACTACACAAAGAGGTTTGTAAAGCACTTGTGCAATGAGGTTTGTCCCTGCTTACACTCTTGGGAACCTGTGATCACCACCATAGAAACAAGCCCAGAATAGCTTGCTGGATGATGAAAGATGGGTGGCCAACAACCAACCAACTGCCACAAATGTGAGTGAGGCCATTGACCCCCAGCTGACCATAGATGCACTCATGGGCCCAGCTGAGACCAGCAGAAGAACTGCCCAGCTGAGCTTTGCCCAATTTGCTGAGTCACAGATCATGTAGTAAATAAACTGTTTTAAGCCACTAAGGTTTGGAGTGGTAACTGTATAGATAGTGACACTACTGATAAAGAGCCTGATGACCTGAGCTCTCCCTGGAAGCCCTTAAAAAGCAACAGCCCCTGGCTGCAGGGCCTGTTGGGTCCTTATCTAAAGAAGATTCTACAACAGATTCCGGAAGACCAGGCCCTAGGAGAAGGAGCCAGTGTATAGCACATTTGTTCAGTGCCTGTTATGTACAAATACTCTACTCATCCTGGAGACTTTCAGTAACCTTGCAGAGCAGGGACCCTGTCCTGGAGGAGTTTGCAAACCTTGCCATTTGTTTTTGTAAGCAAAGTTTTGCAAACCAATGCTGTAGGTAACAAGAAGAGAAAAAGAAGAGGCTAGAATGCATCTAAGGCTTCTGGTCTTCTGACCACGCTAGGCCACCTAATCCATTCTTTTTTTAATCCAAGGAGATGGAAAGAAGGTCATCCCTGAGCTGAATGTCTAGGGTTAACTCAGCACCAAGCACTTGTTCCTAACTGCCTGATGTCTCTCGCTACGAAGCAAGGTACTATCTGACGATACGTTGCCCTCTGGCAAGCCACCTGGTTTCATTCTGACCTGTCGATGAAATAGACTGTAGGAAGAGTGAGCATAACTTAGTCCATCTGGCTTCCGCTGCCTCCTGGTCTGCACCTTGCTCTCTACTGGCATTCAGGTGGGAAAGCAGCCTGCCCCTTCCAGTTTCCATGTTTAGCTGCGGCTTTCTGTACGGCTGCTGCTTTGCAGACTTCACTGGTATTTCAGGCAATAGGTCAGACAATCACAAAGCTGTTGGGAGCCAAGAAATCTTCACTTTAGAGACCATGTATCTCTAAGACAACTCTGTAACTCCGTTTCCCCTATTTGCTTCCCTTCCCTGAAATAAGTCAGCCAGCTATTCAGGTATTTAAAAATAAAATTGGGGGGAGGGGGCCTGGTGGTATAGTGGTTACGTTCATGCACTGTGCTTCAGTGGCCCAGGGTTCGCGGTTGTGACCCCAGGCATGGACCTACACACCACTCTTCAAACCATGCTGTGGTGGTGTCCCACATACAAAATAGAGGGAGATTGGCACAGATTTTAGCTCAGGGCCAATCTTCCTCACCAAAAATTAAATAAATAAAAATAAAATTGAGGAGGGAAATCAGAGAGGAAAGCCTCTGCCCTCCCCCAATGTGTGGAGAAACTTCCAACTCAATTGAAACAGCATCTCCAGTCGCCTGGATTTTTCTTCGAGATTTCACATCCCAAGTGCCTGCTCGAATATGAGATGTGATGAAATCACAAACCAAGGCAATATAGCTGCAAGCAATGCTTTTTTATCTCTTCATTTATGTAGCCTGACATTGAGTAATAATAATAATTAAATGCAGTTTAAGCTTTTAGGCACCTATACCAGAAGGCCTCTAGACACCTCATCAACAGCAGCCCAGGCTGACAAAAATAAAGCTAATTATATTGCAGCTAACTTTTTCTCAAAGAAAAAAATAAAACCACTCCCCAACTTTCCTTGCCTCTGATGGAAGCAGTGCATTAAATGCTATATCCAACAGTCCATTTGCACGGGACCAATTTAAAACCAGGTGCCCTTGTTTTAGGTTTGTCATCCTGGTACTAAGTATTGAAACGCTGGCTTTAGCCTGTTTTCACATCCCCTCAGCTCTCTGAAAAATCTCCAGGGACCCAATTTTTCCACATATATTCATAGCCCCAGGGCCATTTTTATTTATTTATTTTTATGCACATATAGTGTTAGAAGAAAGTGCGTAGACACTTTTCACTTTGGAAAGTTTGAGAGGGTTTTAGATGTGGAAACTCCAAAATAGCTTAATCTAAGAAATTGAGCCAGTGGATACTGATAAAAACAAAGCAAAACGTAAAGTCTCTGGAGAGATTGGGAAAGAAAGAATGACTTGAACTTTTTCTTAGAAACCCAAGCCTCTCGTCACAGGTTCTCTGCTGACTTGCAAGAGGACTTTGGCCGAGTCCCAACAGCCCCAGACACTCGGGAAAGCCCTCTAAAGCTTTTGATACAACTTCTCCAGACAGTATTTTCTGTTCCCGTTCTGGCTGCCCAAGCAAAACTGTCAGAGTTCTCATGTAAGGAAAGTAAGCCAATCTCCAGGAGAGATTTTTAGCCCCGTTTTTCTCTGAACTATACGGTTGGGGCAATGTTCATGGCCATTCCTCTCCCGGTCGCTTTTCTCCTGCCTGAATTAAGAAATCCAGTCTGATGAGCCTTGGAAGAAAATGATTCATAGCGACTGTGATTTATAGTGAGATCTATCTATCTATCTGTATCTTTTATTTTTTTTTTTAATTAGCTCTATATGAGCCAAGGTTCCCAATTCTTGCTCTTGTCACGGGAGGGCCATTTTGACAGGTCCTGTCAGGAGCCCCATGGGCTGGTGGCTACATGCCTTCCTCTGTTCTTGATCTCATCCAGGGGCAGGTGGCTGCAGGTCCCAGTGGGCACTGAGGTCTGGTCTCCTGCAGAGCCCTGAGACCTGAGGTCCCCTGAGCCACTACCTCAGTTCTGTAAAATATAAGCCTCCTCTCTTCCCCCTACCCGGTGATCTCTGCAACGGGTCTTGTCCGTCATTTCCCTACCAGGATCAGCAGCCAGACACCAGGGGATTCTGGCCGGGTTCCTGACTCAGAACATCCTGTCTCTTAGCCACCTCAGCTCCTGGGCCCTCTCTCTGCCGCCACTGAGCCCTCCCTGCCCAGCAGCAAACAATCAATTGCTGGCTGCTCCCCCCAAACCCCACTGGCTGCCAATCAGCTGGGCAGCAGGGGGTAGAAGGGAGTTCCACTCCCCGCTGAACCTCTGTGGAGGTGCTCAACATGACTGAGTAGGGCTGATGACGGCCTGACAGTTCAGGGACGCAATTGCCATCCTGAGGATGTGCGGGCATCGGCGTGATTGGCTGGGACGTTGTGGGGCAGGGACTGGGGGCGAGGAGGCAGAGGGGCAGCTCCTTCAACTGATGGAAGGGTTGCAAGAAGGGGGCCGAGATGTCAGCAGGAAAGGTCGATGAGCTGGACGAGGCGAGGAAGGAAAGGAGACACAGAGGAGATACAGGGCCTGGGGCTCCTGATGGGAGGTCAGAAAATCAAGAACCGTGAGACAAGAGGGGAAACCCTTGGGCACGGGTAGTTCGGGGAAAATCCAATCTGGTCTGGCTGGGGAGCAGAGAGAGACTGTGGCCCAAGGAAGGAGTTAAATGGAAAAGAGTCGGGGGAAGTCACTCCGCTCTCAGATTATTCAAATTTGTTGTACTTATTGATAATGTATTTCATTTCTTCTGCATGGGGGGGATATGATTCAGCACAAATTTGATGTAAATTTATGGAAATGTAAATGCAGAGAGGCTGCAGGCCCTTGCGGCTGGCGGGTTGGCTGCGTGGCCCTCAGTGAGACAGAGGTTACAGCTCTCTGGACTTGGGGAGCTGAAAATAGAAACATTTGACTTGGGGGCCACTGGCCTCTCCTGCAGGCCAAGAGAGGGACTGACCCTGTCGCTCTGGAAGGCTTATTAAAAAAAAAAAGTCTGATGAAAGTTTAAAACAGGATCACCTACATTGTCCTCCTGTCTGATTTTTGTCTTAGGGTTGGGGGGACAGTTTTTATCCAGTAGAGAAAGGCAGGGTTATTTCAATGAAAGTGGAGAAAAAAGAGAATTAACCTTGTCGAGGACCTACTGTGTGCACAGAATTCGCTATTGAAGTGACAGAAATGTTGTTTTTCCTTCTGCACAATGAAAGACTAATAGGACTTGGTGGGGGGAAGAAAACAATTACTAGAGAAGGTGAAAAGGTGGCATTCCATATAAATGGCGGGAGCTGGTAAAATATTTATTGTCCATTAGCCTGTCCTTCAGGACACTGGATGTCGATTTTTATCTTCGCTCCTCATACCAGGTCATGGCATTCATCTAATAATGTGCCGCCTCCCCAGCCTGGCCGTGGCCGTGACAACAAAGAGAACCTTTCACAATTTGGGAATAGCCTCTCTGGGCCAGGGCTTACTCTGCCACCTGCAGTTGGAGTGAGACAGGAGATTCAAGACTCTAAGAGACAAAGCCAGAACAATGGGTTATACTCTCGCTTCATTCCCGTTAGAGACAAATATTCTTGCTTTCTACCAAAGCTGCGATTCCTTGCAATGTCCAAACTGTTGTGTGCCCCTAGCTGCTGTGGCTCACCTGGTCTGGGGGCAGACAAAGAGATGTTTGACTGCAGCCCGCAGCGTGGTTTGTGGGCGTCCTCGAGCAAATGTTTCAAAGGATGACAGTCG